ATGCCGTCGACTACCTCTGGAGCAGGCCAAATTGAGACAAATTTTGGAAAACAATAGCGAGTGTGTTTTAATTCGGAAATGATTTGACAGGTGATATGTAGCAGAGTCTCTATATAAACTTCGTTGTAAAATTAATCACGTTCACATTTCGCAACAACATGAATCCCGGCGCGGGCGACCAATTTTTTCCGTACGAATACGGTATCCACAATATCCACCAGGATGGATCTATCCTTTGGCAGGCCCTTACATGTTTAATGATCGAGGAAATCCCAGCCCATTTCCTTCGACCACGAGTACTGACTCGTTGCCAGAATCCCTCCAGTTCAGCGAAGATAGCTCAATGCCGGCATCAATCCCATCTTCTTCGCGTCGTGCATCTTCGTCAGCCGAGAACAAGAAGGCTCAGGACAGATGGAGTAAAGAAGAGGAGAAGCTTTTAGTTCAACTGTGGGCTGAAATCACAAGGCGCTCACAGCATGGTGTTGTGTTTTGTTCACAGATTTTGTTCTTAAGTGCGACTATAGCTTTCCGGACAAATTTTTTGTCACTGGCCGATTTCAAGTCGAATTTGTCCAGAACAAATGTAAAATTGCCCTCTAGTGCGACTTGGCCCTTACTATTTTTTGGGCTGGAACTGCGATTTCTTGAAAAGGAACCCGCTCCTCCACGCCTAGCCTCCCACGCAGGCGTTTTTAGGGGAGCTCGTATTTCTTCCCTGGGGAGGGAAGAAATACGAGCTCCCCTAAAAACGCCTGCGTGGGAGGCTACTCCGCGCCTGGCTACGGGGCAGTCGGAAAAGTATTGCTCGGATCAACGGATCCGATACATTCAGATCACCTACGGCTGCACAATAACGCATCATGTACTGAGTGCAGTTAAAAAGTCGTTTTGAGCTGTTTTGTTAGTTTAATTTGTAAGAATTTGTTTTATAATTCTAATAAAATAATTTTTTAAACTGCTTTTATAAATGTTCTACTTTTAGGGCCTTAATTGTTACGGAAAACGTGAGGTATTGCTTGCAGTCAATTAGCTATGAAACAGTCAATTGACGTCACCCGGCAGTGACAATGCATCTGTTATGCTTTTTCTTGTATGACAACACAAAATTATTAATTTGAAACAAATGAAAATAAAATTTTCACCACAGATAAAATGGAAGCACTGTCCAAAATTTTTATTGCCTTGCTCCATCCCGGACCTAGCCTAACCCCGCAGGCATTTTTAGGGGAGCTCGTATTTCTTTGTGGGGAGGGAAGAAATACGAGCTCCCCTAAAAATGCCTGCGGGGGAGGCTATCCCGGACCGGGCGATACAACGCCGACGTCGCCGTTTCCGTAAAATTCTTGATCGTTGTTCGATCCTTCAGATTCAGCGTCTGAGTCGTAGTACTGGAACTGCGGATATACATTCATGCATACATGAAAATCATTTCTTTATAAAACCGTGGCGGTACAAAAGCTATCCAGCAAGCCTTGTCGTCTAAGCCTGTAGAGCTGAAAAACCGCAATAATATAGCATGTGTAAGTACCGGAACGTTTATTGGTAACCTTAACTACAAATGTAAAATATCAGCTCCGAAGTAAAAGAAATGGGTGATGCAATGTTTGTTTACCATGACATAATCAGTCATGCGGTTACTGTTCAAGGAAAGTGGAGAAGGGGTCTGCCCAATGTTAGCTATATATGTTACATGTTCCGCTGTGATGTCAAACAATACGGAAAGATATTAGATGGTTTCGTTTAGAATAGGGCATTTCTTAAGAGTAATTGATCAGTGATGTTAGGACAAATGCTCTGCTTTATCTTTAGTCTGGCACGGTGGAACAGGGTTGGAAAATGAAGCAAAATAGAGTCTGATAAGGGCTATGTGTTCCAGGGTCCCCGCAGGACGCCCACTCCTACGCAAAATTTGCCAGACTTCCCCCTCCGTCGGAATCGTTCCTTAGTTTATACGGTTATACATTGATGATAAATTGGAAACAATATGAAATCAGGTCAGTGAAACAGATTTTCCGAAAATATATGTAATATACATGTACACCACAACGAAGTGAGAAAATTGACAAAAACTATATATTGTTCAACTGTTCCGAACGATTAAATTTGTAAAATTTACTTACATTCCAAAGACCTTACATCATAAAATCAAGGAAATTTATGTCTGGAGCTTTGTTTAGTAACAAGTGAAAAGTGTATAAATACAGATAACGTTTCATTTTAAATGTAAATGCACTTCAGAGAGTCTTTGTGTTCCAGGGGAGCTTAAGGTAAAGGATATTTCATACTTTTGAATTTCTAATCAGTTCATCCATTGGTTGCATTTTAAAATTTCAGATAACCAGTTAGACTAAACCGGTTATACTGGTTATTTTACAAGCCTTATCTTGTTGCACAGCGCTTATTGAGACACTCATGCACTGCAAGCCGAGACATAGTACTCGGTGCGGCGTTCAGTATTTACACGTTCGGTTAGTCCTTGGAGTATAACACGTTCTTCAGCTAAGCATTAATACAATAATTGATTATTTTTTAACATACGGTGAATTTTCACTGCGTGAGCGAAAACGAAAAATCGATCGTCGTTGCGCTACGTAGTGCGCAAACAAAGTGGTGTAAACATTTGAATAACTCAATGTTCATAGCGTTCAAAGGAGAAGATATAAAGAAAGGTTGACTGAGAACAAGTCTGGGTGCGCGGAGAAATACAGAGCAAGGAGAGCTTTAATCACCTTAGTTAGCTAGGGATCTTGTTTACTGTGGGTAATGTCGACCGAGATATCGGTCGATATAGCGGTCGACACTCGGTCGATAGTCGGTCGACACTCGATCGACAGTCGGTCGATACTCGGTCGACAGTCGGTCGATAGTCGGTCGACACTCGGTCGACAGTCGGTCGATATAGCGGTCGATAGTCGGCCGATAGTCGGTCGATAGTGGGTCGACACTCGGTCGAGACACGGCCGATAGTCGTTCCAGATGCGTCTCGGCCGATATAGCTTTTCGTTCACCGACACTTCGCTGACTTTTCGCCGACATTTCGCCGACATTTCGCCGACACTTCGCCGATACTTGGTCGATACTTGACCGATGTGTCGGTCAGTAATTGGTCGACACTCGGTCGATGGTCGGTCGACACTTAGCATTTCCTACATTTTCCTACATTTTTGCCCGACCACAGGAGCAGCAGATTCAACTTAGGCTGAGACAGGTTCTGTTTAACAGCTAAAACTCAGACGATCGGTGATGATACAAACTGGAAAAAAAAAGGTTATCATGTCCTTAGTTCCCAGTGCTCTTCGGTTCTCTTCATAGCGTAATCGCGCCTTGCACTGGCACATGTTCCCCATCGCATGATAACAGTAATTAATGACGTCTTTGCTTAAAAAAAAAGCCATAGGACTCACCTGATAAATTAACACACGACTAATATTCGAACGACAGTTGACCGATATACCACCGACAGTTCACCGATATACCACCGACAGTTGACTGATATACCACCGACAGTTGACCGATATACCACCGACAGTTGACCGATATATCACCGACAGTTGACCGATATATCACCGACATATGACCGATAGTAAGTCGAGGTGCGTCGACGAAATATCGACCGATACTCGGCCGATAGTCTATCTCACTATCGACCGACTATCGACCGACTATCGACCGACCATCGACTGACCATCGACCGACTATCGACCGACTATCGACCGACTATCGACCGACTGTCGACCGACTATCGACGGACTATCGACCGACTGTCGACCGCTATATCGACCGACTGTCGACCGCTATGTCGACTGCTATGTCGACCGATATCTCAGTCGACATTACCCACAGTAAACAAGATCTCTAAACAAGTGCGCAATGTTCGAGAGAAAATGTTATCGATTTGTCCTCCTCTTTGGCTTGACTACGTATAGTTTCCAAAGAAGTCAACCTTAATTCGTCGTTCCAACCATGTCGCCCCCGCATCTTGACAATCTTGCTCCCGAGGACTCTCTAAAATGCAATTTTCTGCGTTCCCTGGACCAGAACTGGTTACCGAATTAAGGCACTAAAAAATGCTCACAAAAAATGAAATATTTCGTAGTGATTTGGCAATTATAATTATCGGTTTGCACTTGTTCGTTTTTGAGCTGATTCCGAAAAGAATTTCAATCGGAAAGAGTGTTCGATAGATACAGAAACAGAGAGTAATTTAAATATCTAGCCCAGTTGTTGCATTGACCAACAATAATAAAAGATAATAAATAATTATTTCGTGCGTGAACTCCCGGCCGTTACATGTCAAACAACCGGACGTTGCTTCCGGTGTCCGGCCGGAAACGAAACCCTACAAAACAACATTGAATAGTGGCTGGGAGGGTGCTTACATTTTCTGTGCAAAGGAAGTGTTAGTATGGTGCAAAACTGGCCATAGTTGGATGGAACTGTCCCAACAGTTTTGTCCGAGGTTGTAGATTATAACGCTCTGCAATTCCGATTACGCCTACTCTGTCGCCTACTCGGTCTACAACTGGAAAAAAAAGTTCTGCATACTGGTAGACATGTGGAAGGAGATTAAGAATCTCAAGCTAAGTATTGAAATAGCAAAGATATAACGTCTATCTATGGCAAATTTCGTCCCGAGACGGAGCCCTGACACATCTGAGTTACGGTGAGCCAGCGACGGGATCAGTAACATCCATACCAGGCCTCAATTTGCGTAGTTGACAATGTTGTTTCTCATAACCATAGTTAATAGATTAGAATTGTTATGAAAGGCGGAAAACATCATGGTGCTACACAATCCTTTGTATTCTGTTCACAAATTATGACTGAATATTTTCATGCCACGTTTTTATTGGCTAATAAGATTAAATTTATAGGAATGCTATTGAATGTTGTGAACCGTCAGGTCCACAAAAGGAGTCTGACGGCCGGGCTACCTAACCATTCTACTAAATTAACTATGACATATTAAACTAACCTTTCAGGTATTCATTTCAAATATGCCACCAAGTCCACGAATCAACCAACTGGGATTTAGCACATCGACAGACTTAGTTAAAGTTGTTCATCAGCCTGGCTGTTTAGATCCAAACTGCCTTCTTCCATCGTGTATAAACATCAAGATGCAAAGGAGTCATTTGCAAACGTGCACGAAAACACCTGGGACCTGCGACGTTTGCAAACAGCTGAAAAGCAGCGCGAAAAAGGGAGTTTTGCCCTTCAGTCTTACAGGGTCCCCATCAATGCAGCCCACTTCCTCGAAAGACGAAGAAGATGACGAAGTCACCATAATAGAAGTGACCCCTAACATAGCTCGTGATAACCACAAGATGAACCAGCAAATATCCACCATGAAAGCTATGAACTCTGACACTGCTTACAACAACCTAAAGAATCTACAACAGATTTCATACGATTCTGTGACACGCCAAGATAAAGCAGCCGTCAGATATGGTTTTTCCAATCAAGCACAAATGCGTCCAGGAACCTTTCAGTTTAGTAACTTTAACAGCCTCAATACAAGTAGCCAAGCCTTTCAACCTCCTTTGGAAGTGCTTTGTAATACCTTACAAGCGCTAAACACCTTTATCAGGCTGGCGAGTTCATCTCAGTTAGAGTTGCAAGTTATTCCTCTGTTGGAGCAAGCCCTTGCCGATATGAAAGTAACAGCGCGGAAGCGTCTAGATCTGGAAGGAGGAATTAGTCCAATGCCTGTTCCGAGGAACTCGTCTGTTGTGATGGAGTACTGTGATACTGATGCATGCATTCCAGACAACCAGTGGCTCCGAGTCCAGCCACCGCCACCTCCACCGCCACCACCGGTATCACCACCATTTCCTTCATCAACGCTGCAGTCGACGTCGCCAATGTCATCATCAGTATCTTTGGCCACGGCATGGAAATTACCATCGTCAACAGTTAAGTCATCCACGACGCTACTTTCCCATGGTGAAGAGTCGACTTATGGAGACGCCGAAAATGACGAATCCCAGTTTGATCTGCAGGATATCATTCTGCTGGATTTCGTAGACGAGTTGCTTGGATGAGTATTGCAGTGAATGGGTGGATTTTCTTCTGCCCAAACTGCGTCCAGATTCTCTGCTTGCAGCGAGTAGTGTCATTACACCAATAAGTCGAGAGTCTGGATTCCATAATGGAAAACAAAAGTTTTCGATTCCAATTTTAGAATGCAATATGAAAAATTCATGTCCGATCCGGAGGCTAGGCAAATCGTCCAAGTTGGAATCTGAATTTGGTCTAGATACCTTTTGACGAAGCAGTAGCTTTCGATTCACCAATGCGGCGGTAGGAGACGGGCGTCTGCACGCAAGCTAAAAAAGCATGTCCCTTATATGCGCATGCCCTTTTGGTTCCTAGGCTACCCAATGAACCTGAAAGTTGGTTGCCTTAAAGGAATACCACATCAATAGGCCACTTTCGAATTCCAAAAACCCTCACTTTCAAAATGAGGCGAAGTGCACAACCCTTCCTCCGAAAATGAGTTTTATTTGCATGAGAAAGAAAATTCATTCCCATATCAAAGGCTGAGCACTTAACCTCGTTTTGATACAGAGTCCCGGGGGAACTCGGAAATGGCTTGTTACATAAATATAATTAAATAACTATTGGATGAGGCTAACTAAGGATGTATAAACCCCGATGGATAATAATGTATTCATAGGAGGACGTTATAGGCAGAGGCAGGTAACACCTTTAGAGAACCTCAATAGTCTTCAATAATCAAACCAAAGCCGAATGCAATAATTGTCTTAAATGCAGAGATCGAGTCGTGACCTCTGCGATACATGACCGGGTGCTGCGCTCTAACCATTAATTGAGCTAACAAGCCAACTGGGAGCTGTTCATTGAAAATCAAACCAAACAAAGCCGAATGCAATTCAAAATTGTTCTAAGTGTTTGACATCTTCCAAAAATGCAAAGAGACGTAATTCGTCCAATAATCGAGTAAAAAACGGGTCAAAATCAACCTTCGAAAAATGCAGTCATTTTATTATAAATGACTATGGTACAGGAACGTGTTACAACCTAATGTCTAGAAATAGTGATTGAAGGGAAAAACTAAGTTAAGTTTTCGAACAAAAATGATTTTAAATATTCGTGATTGTCAAAAAAACCTTGACAATCTTTTTATCATTAATTACTATGTATTCGATAAATATTTTTTTTCATTTTTTTTTCGATTTTTTTATTTTTTTTTTCATATAGATTCACGACGCGCCAAGCCGCCTCGGTTTTGCTTTTATGTTCGTTTGGTGTAAAACGAAAAAATCATGTAGTTATTGTCTATGTTACGTGTTATGCTACGCGTATGTTAGCCGCTGATTATTAGTACTGAAGGACTGCAGTTTTCAAAGTCCTTGCATGGGTAGAGAACATGCATGAATACCAGCCTTTGGTATGATTGGTGGGTAATTTGCATATATTAGATGAATTTAGAGGTAAGAGTCTGGATAGCACGATATGTAATGCTTAAAAAAATGATGTTTTGTGAAACAAAATAAGGTGATTTCTTCAGTTAAAATCCATGTCTACAGTAGTCACAGTAGGTACTGGTACTGGTAGTCACAGTAGGTGAAATGGTCGACCTTGTGACGTAACACATGCAGGACTTGGTATGTGGCGCACCACGGGTCTCAGTTGTATAAACCAATATATAAGTTCAGGCGTCAAAATACAGCGTTGACTGAGCTCAATGATCAGACATAACCTGTTACGTCTTATGCTACGATTTATGAAATTGTTCCTTTATCGGTTGATCCGTCTGAAGGCTGGTATTCCTGTGCGCATCCTTTGACATTTATATTTTTCAAAGCAGGAGACTTGGTAGCCTTTGCCAGGCTCTAGGATAAAAGGGAGGTGGCGAAAACTAGCCAATCGAAAATAAGACGAGCATGGTGTGGGGAAGGGGGCGGTGATGCTCTCTCTCCCCAACCCCCTCTCGTTTTCCGCATCAGTTTTGACAATCCCTGCAAGTCTTAGAGTCTGGAACGGGCCAGGAAGATGGTTCAACAAACAGTGAAGCAAAGAATCTTAACTGGCCTCCGTAAAAAGTTTGTTTTATTATACTAAGCTGATCTTGAATATATTGTATTAAGTGTATAGTTTACATACTTGTTAATGCTTCCTCATTGATATCTTGTAGTTAGATAGCCTTTTAATGGGATCTTAATAAAATATTTATTTTTATTCTAAACGTGTGTACGGTACAAGTGTGTATTACTTTAAATAGTTTTACAAGTTTACCCTTTTTCTTATTTCCGTTTATGTTTGATCCGATTTTGCTTGGCAAATCCCAACACAATTTTTATCGCTAACGTTAACATTTCTCTTTAGAAATTGAGCCACATACTTAGTTTTTCCTTCAGTTTGATTTCATTTTCTGCCGGGTCCCTACAGATACACGTATTACCCTACACCCTGGAACTAGCCGCACCTCTGGCGCAACGGCCTATTGGTCATGAATGTCCGACCGTATACTACGTTCTCCTTGGCCTGAAGAGTGCATGGTCACGCCATACCTTTTCAAATAATGATAACAATAATAATAGTAATTTCACGAGCGTTCTAAAATCGTTTGAAGCTAAGAATTATTGATCATGTCTAAATAAACCATTCAATTTCACAAACGCGCGTCCGAGTACAAAAGTACATGAATAGAGACGCTTGACACATGCTTACCACGAAGCTAACAAACATGCATGGCATGTATGACCATAAAGAATGAAAATAACTCTGACGAGATTACACGAATACTAATGAAAAAAACCGCCCGTGAAATCAGACACAGTGTCCTCTAGAGCAATTAAAGGCCCATCTTGTGATGGTCGGCAATTTCCCTTGGCATTGTCTTCTTCACTCGTCAAGTCCACAGTCTCTATAGGATTACCCTCAGCGTTGGAAACGGCAGACAAATAAGAGTGACACCTCAAAGGAAGAAAATAAGAATTTCTTGGAACAATGTGAGATGGCTCTGAACGGGATTGGTTATCAATTGGATAAACTCTGGGATTCTTCTTTTGTCTTTTGAAGACACATTGTCTCTCAGTGACTTTCTTTCTTGATCGTTTGGGTTGAGGTTTAGAGGCATCTTCCATTTCTTTCACGGTGTTGTTTAGAAGACGTACAAAGACAGAATCCAAGTGGTCCGATCTCGGTTTTGCTAGCAAATCGCAAAGCTTTCTCATAACTGTGATCAACCCTCTTGAGGGATTCTGTAAACCTGCAACTAGTCCAAAGTTAAAACCCTCAAATGAATTGCCGACTGAATGGCACGAAGGCTTGGGAAGCTGATACCAGTTGTCGTTTCTGTATAGAGGGTGTTTGTCCACCGAAGGGATAGTTTGGGTATTAAAAGACCCACTTATTGGCACTGGTATTCTAGGGCGAGCACTGAATGGCGAGCTATTGGTGGCTGATGACGATGTGATTCCTTCAATGCCAGGCCCGAAATCACCCATTTCATCAAGGACACTTTCAACGAGATCATCAAACACATCCTCAAGGCTTGTTACAGCATCCAGGCAAGTGGATGAGATCTCTGAGTCAATACTTTCTGCGGAAGACACTTTCCTGTCTAGGTCGTCTGACCCAATTGGGTTCACCGAACGCCAGGTCCCCTCAAACAATGCATCCACAAAGTTTTTCTCTGAGTCTTCCAATAACTGCCCAAAGGAAGGCACACTCGCACAATGCGTAGATGGCATCAAAAGGACACCAGTGTTGACGTTCTCGAGAATATTCTCTGCTCCGGAAGCTGAAAACCTTTCTGCCTCTTGCTGAAGCTCAGCGGACTGATTGCCACCGGAAAGGGTATTCTGGCCCTGGTCACATTCAAAGCTGGTCAGCGTCAGTGTGGTCTGCGGTTGCTGCTGTGGCTCTTTTGATTTCATTGTAATTTCTTGTACCTGAAAGATGTGACAATAAACGTTTATCGTTTCCATCCTGTACTAACCTCAAGTATATATGACATTACAATCAAGTATGTTTATAATTGCTAGGTAGACCCCTATTACGACCAGTTTCGGCAGGATCACATTCCGAATTACTCGAGAGGCAAGCGAATGACGTCCAACGTAAAATACTGCTCACCATGGTCCAGACGTTGAAACAATCTGCGATTTGCGACAAATAAACGGTGCATGGAAAATTGAAGTTTAAAGGAGACTGAATTAAGCTAGAGCAGAAATGGGTAACCAAACAAGGCCGAATTCCGAAAACTAGAAACAGGAGAGATGGAAAAAGTGGCACCACAGAATTTATGTACAAGTTCATTATTTCGTTCTTTTCTATCTATTTTAGTTTAGCAACAAGAGATTGATTTGGTAAATTTTGTTTGCCCACTGTCACTAAATATATGACCATTAAGAAAGTAGCGAATGAGGCGACAGGTGCATGGTCGGGAAAAACCACTATTGTCCGAAATGTTTAAAAGATTTGGAACTACAATGGTTCTCGGTTGATCTTCAATTCGCACCACATATATATGATTTTTGTTTTTCTTAAATTATACACTGATTTCATTTATAATTCTCAAGAAGACCAGTGTTTTGATCAGTATCATACACATGCGTAACAACTTCCAGTAACTTCCTTCCTTCCTTCCGGTAGTACGCAATTCAGCTGTCTGCATGGAAGCAATTAGCTCAAGTTTGACGTCTAATAAAACTAACCTCAAGCAATTTCTTTGTTAATTTAGGTTATGAGGTTTGTTCACAAAAAATGAGTCTCCAATCACATCATTGTTGCCCGGTTTTGTACCGCCACGAGGGCTTTAATTTCACCAAAAAGGTGATACTTGTAGAGGATTCTCGGAGAAATCAAAGTTGTAAATCATTTTTAAGAAGTTATTTGAAGTTTCATGTCAGTTTTGGCATTTTCTCCTCCCTGCAGTATCATTTACTAAAGCAGAGTGCAAAGTGGAAGTAAACGTTAAAATTGAAATTGCTTGAAAACTGCTGGACAAAGACAACGTTATCGGAGAGATTGTGATATAATTTCTAAAAATATTATGGATCACACGGCCAATTTACTCTAAAATGACTCACTTTGATTGCAAGATTCGGCATGTTTTTTTTTCAGTAATAATGCTTTCCGGTAAGCAGGTTAAGAATACTGTCAAAAACAAAGTTTCTCCGCATAGAAGGTACCCATGCGTGAACCTTACATTGTAGAAAGACACGCAATGATGGTGTCTAATGACTGCGTTTTATTATTATTTACAGTCAAAACCAAAGCTGTTCTTGAAGGCTACAAAAAAGGACAGTCCTTAAAGGAGCTGTCTCTCGAAATTTACCGAAGTTCCAACAGAAGGAACTGCCACTAAATTGAGTAACTGACATCAAAATAACCACTCTTTGTGAGAAGAAGATATAAATGACACAGCAAATACAAAAGAAAGCACCTTGATGCCGTGGACAAACTTGAAGAAGATTGAAACGGATTGCAATTTTGGTTTTTGAAACTACATGTTAGCCTAACAGTTTTTTAAAGGTGTTTTCTGTTGCTTGTAACAATCGATACGCCTCTTTACGCGCACTGTTTATCTACGCACCGAGTTTACCAGTGAAAACCTAACAGAAACAGCGAATGATCTTTCAAAGGTTCTGTCTAATGTTCAGTCCACCTGGCTGAGTCGCAAACTAAAAGCACCACAGCAAAGTAAAGTCACGGATTCAATATGTTGTTTTTCAAGACAAGAATACTTTAATTTGAAAGTTAGTTTTGGTCTGAGGCTTTCAATGATAAATGATTGTGGGGTTTCTTTAAGGTGAACTTGTTATGAGTTGCTGCTAAGAAATCAAACGACGTTTTCAGTCTCGTACAAATCTCTGCTTTAGTCTGCAGATCGATAAAACATGTGTCCGTGACGTTTTTGTTTAGAGCCCGCTTAACAAGGACACCCGAAAAATAGGGACGGTATGGTATGTCCCGGGTATGTCTCCTTGGTAACTGGGTTCCACTCTACAAACTAAAGGTAACAACTGAAAAGGTCAGTAAACCATAGTCAAAATATTAAATGAGATTTAGATGACTATTTGAAGAAAAGATTTGTTCAGGGGGCTTCTAAAATACGGTGAAACTGCGTGGTAAATTGCTTTCACATCTAAGAACGACAGAGGCCGAAATCAACATAAATAGCCTTGGCCCTGGTATTTGTTGTTGCCAAACTCGTTATTGTCAAAAGCGTTAAGAGCGAAACAGCGGCTGAGTCGATCCAGCCGGTAAGATGTGTGGCCATTGTTTTCATCGTAATCTTTGGACAACCTACAAAGTTTGACGGAGAAAACTATAATTTTCAGTGCCGGCTGCTTAGGGAAACTTCAGATTTGCACCCTTCGCATATAGTCATGATCTTGAGATCGATGGATTCACACCGGTGCTTGCTCAGTTTTTGGTGAACCATATACTAGACAACATCAGTCAGGTAAAAAAAAAAAACCATTTGGGGTCCAGTTAAAATTTTTGGCGCAATTTTATTCGAAGAAAGGACGTCAAAGGAGGAAAGGCGTTTCGGTTCAAGATTACAGAAACGAACTCCAAGTTAATGCAAGACTCCAGTCAACGGACAAATGATCTCTCCATCAAGAAACCCAGTTATAAAATCCCATGAGACTTGTGAAAATGATGGAGCATTTTTTTCCGTCACTGCCAAAAGCTGCGGGCAAATCAATCACCTCTAATTTTGTTGATATCGTTAGGTCCTCTCGAAGTTGGTAGTTCTTTGCCTGTTTCGATCATTCAAGGCAGATTGCAATACGATACGTTGAGCATTTTACAATTCGTTTAATCCCAGCCATCCTTCTTTCCGAAGCTTTCGTTTTGACTGGTTCATAAAATCACCCAAATGAAAGACTAGTTCGTATACCGGGGGAAATAGGGTTAAATATATACGAACTACGAACCTAGATCGAAAGGACCTCTTGAGAAGCATGCACTCTGAGACAAAATGACATGTTGCCTGTTCCCTATGACTGATTTTTTGCACTGATAGCTTTTAAAAAATAATCAGAAACTGAATAAAGACAACTGATAACTATGGAAGAAGAGGATGAAAATATCTTACTGAAGTGCATTGGATTTTTCTGTAGATTAAAGTGAAATCATTTGCTTTTCACCGATTCTCCATGCGTGACAGGTGTAAGGCGGCCATTGATTAATAAGCACTCCTTTCTAAAACACAATTAGTCAATAGTACATAAAACTCGTCGATGTTTGCAAATAAAGATAAAAACTGATGCTCAAGCAGTGTAGCTCTGCTGAGGCCTGCAGCTCTGACAATGCATTCAAACCAATTTCAGTTAAAGATGAAAGGTTTTTTTTAAAATTTTGCTTGACCAATCAACCTTCATTTATATTTACTTTTATATAGTGAAGAAGGTCTGGTTGCCCTTTCGGATAGGTCTTGTTTGTGTTTAGGTCTTTATATTCTACATTAGCTTGATCTGCAAAACGTTTACAAAAGATCGCAAACAAAGAAATCCTTTTCACAGTAATTTCTAACCAATTTTGTTAAAAACTCGCCATTACATTGTCAGGTTTTCAACAACCCTGACGATGCTTTTAAAATAGATTTCCTTACCAAACACGTTTAAGTCAAACATGATTAAAGCGAAGAAGGGAAAGGGAAGATCATGGAAAAGAGTGGTGCCAAAAAGAAATAGAAATACATGTAGTGTTAGTTATTGTCGTCATAATAAAGATAGCCAACAAAAGAAAGCTATCTGGTTTTAGTAAACTTGTTAGTGCTGTCTGGAGCAATATTATTTGACCAACCTTAGTTCACGTGATCAAGCCAGTAACGGTGAAAGAAAACGATCCTCCGGTTTTGGTGAATTAACAGCTTCAACTTAACTGGGCTCATAACCACGCGACTGAAACACAACCTTATATAAAGAGTCAACTTGTGTCGCGGATCACTAGCGAATATCTTGGAACATTCGAGTTAATGATATGACTATGCTAAGTATGTACTTATCGTGAAGCTCTTAGCCTCACCCCCAAACCCGAAAAAGTCTGTTTGTATCCATTTGCAATTTGAATAATTTGTTTCAATATTAAGGCTCTGCCATAATTTCCAAGTTCCTTTCTCGAGTAATTACTTCCGGAAAGAAGTTATTGCCTACACAGAGTCGGTGGAGTATGAGTGACGCAGTTCCGGCTGGGGTCTGTGAACTTGCCGAAATCCTTAACATACTCTTTTGTTCTCTATTTCCGAAGTGATCGCTAGAGTCACTAAGTTACAAAACTATCTTGAAATATGTTTGTTGACATTTTGAATATTTCACGGTTTTATCAACAGGTGACTTAACTAGGCGAATGGTTTTTTTTTTTGGAGGTCAATCAGTGCACCATTTATTTCTGGGGGTTTGCAACTTAAACTGCAAAGTTCGGTATGGACAAAAAGTACGGTTTATCGACTAGCGGCTCCTACAGCATCACACCATTTTGGTCGGGCAATTTGACTTGAGTGCTATAAAACGGGTTAATTACTCAAAACCTATTGGTATCGTGTTGAAACCAATTTTAAAATAAAGGTTTCAACAAATCTAAAGAAAGTTACCGTAGGTAGTAGGAGCGAGGCGATTCTTCGAAATCTTGACTCATTCCGTTGAAAGTAAGTGCATGTTTTTGACGCCTACGTTTTCCTCTA